CATTAATCTTCTCCAGGGATTGGGGCCGTTAATGGATATATTTAGCCTAAGGGATTACGACAATCAATACTCTCTAGTGATACGACATCCCCGAGTGGTGCAACCTTGGAACCAGGGCTATCCTTGTATAGAGAGAACCACTATTAAAGGGGTCGTATAAGTGCGTCTAATAGGTAAGGATAGGGTTCTTGCTGGGTACTTGAGTAAGGGAAGATGGGTCGTATTGGGTAAAGATTCGATGGATTTCCAAGGATATGGAATTTTTCGGATGATCTACATTGATAAGCTCCCTAGGACCTTCTTTTTGACCTGAAAAGGTGTAGGAGGGGTCACGGGTTGGAAGAAATTCTAGGGGATTACGCTGGTCTGACCGTTCCTTCTGTGCCGTTGGCCCTTGACCCTGACTCCAACGACGCTCAGCTTCAGATTTTGCGGCCGAGTAGAAGTAACGTTGAGACAAAGAACATGCCCTTCTTCTATGGCAACCGCCGATCGGCATCCTGGTCCCCCCTTCCCCTCTTCCCCTCCCCCTCCTCCTGGAGAACCTTTGTGTTCTGATGTTCCGGAAAGTGGGGAAAATTTATCGGAAGGGATTATGATTTGGCCTGATCATCTGATCGGATTAGTTTCGGCAATGGGGTGATTGTTATCAGGAAAGGTGTTTGGTGCCGACCGACCCGGCCGTTCGCGCCTTTCACAGGAGTTTTACGACTTCAACTTTTCGCTGATCAACACGACGCCTCTGTGCACGCACACCCCATAAAAATAATGGCTAGTGATTTAGTGGTCTCGCTGAGACCGTCGTTGCCGACGACGACGTAACGATCGATTCATCGTTACGTTCGGATGTTTCTCTTCGTCACCTCTGATGATGGCTTCCACAAAAGCTAACTGAAGCAAAAAATGCCCGACAATGAATGACTCGAGTGACTCGAAACATTCCGGTCGTATGAATGGCAATGAACATTCTAGGAACTGAAGTGGTTGCTAAAAAAGAGGTCGACGACGTGCGGAAGTGACCGAAGCAGATAAGTCCACGAAAAAACATTCGTGTCTGAAGTGGTCCTTAGCTTGAAAGATAAAGGGCGAGGTAAAGGTTAAACACCAAGCAAATTTTTTTCTATTAGAGCTGACGACGCAGCTTTGACCGTAATGTTCAGCTCAGGGAATATAATCTCCCTGGTGGGTGCGGGCATGATCGCATTGGGTCGGTATGGAATTCAACAAGACGATACGTATTCTGTAGGTGCTCCAAAGGCTTTTTATTGGAAGCTGTAGGGACCGTAACAAAGCAACCGTTGTGCGAAACACGGTCAACCCTTTCACCATTCAGGGAAGTTCTCGAATTCCAAGGTCGATTCGAAGTCGCTCTTCCACCAAAGGGATGGGGTTTTGATAGCAAACTGAGTCCAACGGAAGGCATCTCTTCTCACTGTGACTGTTTTGATCATAAGTGGAGAAGCTTAGAAAATTGGTACCCAGAACCCCACACAGGGCCAGAAGGTCCTGCTCGGAAAAAGATTTGTATTCCGTATTTTCTATTTTTTTCGACAAGCGGAAGAAGCGATAACAAGTCTGGTACCAGTTAGTCTGTTCCGAGCTTAGATTTCAAGTTATTGCTCAAGATCATGCCTTTTTGTGGCCATTCTCCCAAGTCAAGCGAGACCTACATTCAGAGTTCACTTGCTCCCAAAAACCATTCACCTCGACCATATGTGGTCTTTTAGAGAATTGTGGCATCGAACCAATCAAATGTCGTGTAAAAGGGGCGGGTACATGTATATTGAGCCCTAATGAACGGTCTTTAATGAGNTCAAGATCATGCCTTTTTGTGGCCATTCTCCCAAGTCAAGCGAGACCTACATTCAGGGCTCACTTGCTCCCAAAAACCATTCACCTCGGCCATAAGTTGTTTTTTAGAGAATTGTGGCATCGAACCAATCAAATGTCGTGTAAAAGGGGCGGGTACATGTATATTGAGCCCTAATGAACGGTCTTTAATGAGCGGTCGATGTCTGAGATTGGAAGAAATTGATCTCAATGCCGAGAATGATTTTTTTTTGTTGCAAAAACCGTCCCCTTGCCCTTGCTCCCTCCCACTTTCCCTCTCTGTTTGGGAGATATCTCACCTACACTCCATGAGCCCAACTTTTTACTTCGACCAGCCCTAGTTGCCAGATTGTTGATGGGATCCCTCCTTTGAAGCAGTAGATCAGTACTGATCCTCTTTGATACCCAGATTTCGATTTTCAAAAAAGCGGAATATCGCTGCTGGCAAGTAAGACGTCAAGCGAACCTTAAAAAATACCTCTGAGGCGGATGTGAAGGAGTCCGAAGTTTATTCAGTCATTCTAACCTCACTTAAACTTCCCATTGAACATCAAACTATCAGCGGGCCTTCTATCATTGCAGAGGGTTGAAGCTTTGATCTTCTTTGAGGTTGCCGATCGAGATATTTCGTATTTTACGACATCCCCCATCGTCCAAAACCTCATTAAGCACGCTCATGACTCATGTCGTCATCGCCACGGCTGCTCGCTGGCCCAACTGCCATAGCCCGCTTTTTCAACAACGACTGGGCTCAATGTGCATCTAATGAAGTGGCTTTCATGTGGTAAAATCATCTCCAGCCCGATACTATGCGAGAAATATCTTCTTTCGTCAGCTCATCACCACCATGTCGCTTCTGATAGTATGCTCTTACATCCAAAGCTCTGCTCTTACATCTCGCCTATGCTTTGGCTGCTTTTTCCCGTTGGCGACTGGATTTCATCCAAAGAGGGGTCCACCTCTGTAGAGCTTATAGCTATGGCATTTTCTGGTTCCAAAAAATATCACTTCAAAACGAAAAATAAAATTAGTTAGACAATATATTGGCTGGCAGAATATTGAACTGTAAAAAGAGCTCTTCCACTAAAAAAAGCATTAAGTTTGCTCAATGCAGTTCTGGGACGCGCCATGCATTAAACTACCATTTAACGTCGTAGTATCGTTTGAATAGGTAAATGATCTGTAGAATCGCTCGTTAGGTTCAACTGATGTACGAGTCAGCGCTCTGATCCTCTCACTCTGGTCCAGAGCCAATCAAACCACTAGTCCCTCAGTGAAGGAAAAGTTCTATGACCCTGAACTGGCTTCAAAACATTTGCTGAACAGCCACCTTTCAATTAGAACATGCCATTCCCAAATTTTAGGCCCATCGATATCGGAAAGAACTGGATTTTTCTGAAAGAATCCGGTACCCAACGCCTAAATTGTATCTAACGATTTGGTAAATGTGAAGATTCCATTTTGTAGATTTTCGAAACTTGTCTGTCAAGAAGAATCTCATAAATTCCTCAGCAAAATGTTAATCTAAATGGTAATTAGGGCGCTGTGAGATGGCTCCACCGAAAAAGAGCATTTGATGATGGCATGTGCACATTTAGTCACCGAGAAAAATACTGCGTTTATACGTAGTAATAGGACAATGGTACGAAAGTAAAAAAGTAAAAAAACGTAGAAAATTCTGTCTTCATCGTAACTTTACATTTTTGGAATTATACGAGTCGTATAAACGTGGTGAATACAGTATCCCTATACCAGCGACCCAGCCCATCCCACGCTTCTACTTCTAGGTAGCTGCTTGACACGGCCATCAGTGGGCGTCCTTGGCGGCAGTGGACATATGAGATAGTTTTTGTGCCCTTATCGTGTCCTTCCTAGAACTTTTTATTTTGATGGGGCAGCGAGCAAAATGGTAGCCTCCTTGTCCTCCAAAGTTTCTCCCCAGCAAAATTAAATCCACTCCCAAATGTGAATTCAGGATGTTTGGGAGCCCCTAAGCGTTGGAATTGATTGGGACCACCTTGTGGAGCTGCTGCAGCAGCAGTGACAGCAGTTTCATCAACTTTACGAATGTCGACGATGAATGAATCAGTATAAACATTTATCTCGGCATCGATCTGCCTCCAATTCATCACAGTCGTCGGTTTTAAAAATAACAATGAGACTACTGAAAATTAATCTCTCACGCCTATTCGTTCTTCCATTGCCCATCTAACTGAAGAGCCTTGGTATGAAGGAAACTTTGTCGAAAATTCGGCGAAAATGCTATAGGACACGAATGAAAAGTGTTTTGTGGCTTGAATTAGCCTTTACTGCGGACTGTTAGGCTATTTCAGGAAGTTATTGCTAAGGTCTTGGCTGTAAGTTTTTGAGCATGGCCTTTTCACTGGCTCGATCCACTTATCGTACTTTGGGTAATCGAATGGAAGTTCAGTTATCCACACAGCCTTTTACCTTAATTAGTTGCCCAGACAAATCTCTCTTCGCCTAGTAGGAACTGAATCGAGTCTTCTGGTCCCTCAGGGGTGTGAGCACTTCTAAGCCGACCCCCNCCCCCCCCCCCTCTCATTGAGCCACTGTTTCTGTTACAGTGAGAATAACCTTGGAGGAAAGGAGGGAGGAAATTTGCATCTCTTCAATGTGAAGGACTGAGGGTGGCCGAACGTCTCACGGAGTCTCACATGCTGAAACGGTTTGGAGAGCATAGAGACCGAAATTTGGTCGAAAAGACTTCAGATTGAGCTTCGGATGATAAACTACTTGCCGAGATGAGCAAGACAGATCGGAGTGGAAATTCGCAACGGTGGGCGGGGCATGCGCTTGAATGGGCGGAGTTTTATCTCGGACTGCTAAGCCGATTTTCACGACATCCCAGAGGCTAGAAAGATGAAGAAAGTCAAGCAGTTGGGAACGAATCAATTAAATAAGAGGATTTTGCATTTGTTTGATGACTGGTTCCACGTTTTCCGACGATTTTGATTTACTAGGAATAGATTGCGAGTATATCAGGCTTGAAGGGTGCTTTCTGCTCTTGCTATATAGACAGCCAAATTATTATTACATGATGAATTAGACCTCACATTATTTTTCAGGACTGATGGATGCAATGATGCATCACTGCTGATCCGTTTTCATGAGTACTGGCCATTTACGTCCACTGTCTCCGTCTATTATTACATAAAAGATGGACAGCGAATATCGTATGACAGCCATTTGGTGACTGCTAGCGTGGACCGATGGTTGCAGCACGATTTCAACCTAATACCCGAACCGGGTATCCATGAAGTCTGCGTTAAGGTTAGTATCGATTTTCTTTTACATTTACTAATCGCTCTCAAGGGTTTTCTACAAAATCTAGGGGCCCAGACATATAGTTGCTGGCGGGTGTACTCGAAGCATTTGGAAATTATGATTTTATTAAGTGATTGGCGCTAGTAATGCTTATGGACGTGCTCTGCAGCATCGCCTATGATAAATAATCAGACGCGCGTGCGATCGATGGCCACTAGTTTCATGCATCTACTGAGCGAACGATGCGAAGTGTAAACGCAGCTGCATAGTAGGCAAACTTTCGCTTAAACTCTTTACTTCTTAAGAACGTGACAGTTCATATTCCACGATTAGTACGATCAACAGTATATTTTTACGGTGAGCTTAAGATCTGCGACACATCGCGCGAAAATGTCGCCTCTGACCCGCGGCCGGACCTAACGCCCTCTGGTCGGGTCGCCCATTTGATAACGTGGCTTCATAAGTTACAATTCAATGTATTTGTATTTATTAATTTTTAAATGGATTTCATCTTGTTCACTGTCTAATGAACCCGATCTTTCAGCTGAATGGGCAGCCAGAAATTCGCCATCGTGTCTGTCGTGTAGTCGTCGATCGGGCGGAATGTCCCTTCCCCCAACCAAGCAGTGCCACATCACTACCAGTTGTTTTTAGCTTTGTTTACCTCATCGTCGTATCATTATGGATCCGATAATGAATTGTATGTGATTGCAGACATAGCTCATAACTTCTTTCCTACAGTATTCCTCTACTGCTTAATTGATTGCTGAGAAGTACGGGAGACAAACGAAAGATAGACTTGCCGCGCACGCGATGAACGACAAGATCGAGGTGTCGCGCGATCAGCGAAGCGATGATTCAGGAATGGCTTTGCGGCATGTCCATACATGTTTTTTGACGCTTTTGACCGACTTTTCGGTTCTAGACGTGACTTTACCTGTTGCCAAGCCGTTTCGCAATCGTCGGGCGGCCTGCCGCGCGATGCATCGCTCGTCGCGTGCGCGATATGCGTAGCTTGCGAATTTTCCGCTCGCGTCCACAACTGGCTGCGTGAACAGCTTTATTATTTAGTTTCTCAGTCGGTGATTTTGTGTTTCTCTTTTCTGTCGAGCTTCCTCAATGATCTCACTCATTTTGATTTTTCTCTCCGGTGAAGTTTTGCTTCACATTTGCCACTGGGTGGCTCGTATTTATTTTCTTTCTACAAGTTACTGAATACTAAGATTCTTTTGGTCTAATTAATATGTATTTACTAATTATATGTCGTTAAAAGTATTTAATAAAGTTGTTTCAAAAATTCGTAATTCGAAGTGGGTTAGTAGACTGACTTCGGTGGAAGTGAACCATGTTCCATACTTAAAAAAACTAGTATCCCTAGCGAAGCACTTTGAACAGGCAGATTGTCTTCTACTCCAGCTTCATTAGCACATTTTTTTACTTTCATGCCTTTTAGTTTCCTTATCATCCTTCTTATCAAAGGCGACAGTCCTCCACTCTCATGAAGAATAGCTCTTCTCGTTTCCAACTGCATCCTGTAACGGATAACTCCGCCCACAAGGAGAAAGGTACGTACCGCAAATATATAAAACTGATGAAAATGATCATTGTATTAGGTTAGGTCTACTATTAACCGCATTGCATTTTTGATTAGCTAATGGCTGAGAGGACAAAAGAGAATATGAATAGATGCTCCTTTTCTCCCTTCCTGAATGGGAGACGTAAGGCGGGATCGGCTGGAAATCCAAGCCTCAACAGTAGATGTAATTTTGAAATTGTAGACGTAAGTAGGTTCAAAATGCGGACAATTTGTCAAGGTCAGTTCTTATAGGAGATGAAGGGTTCGTAGTGAGAGCTCGATTCACTCAGAGACGTAGCGATCTTGGTTAGTTGTCTCGTGGCTCCATGTCTTTGCTAGTTGTCTCGACCGCCCACCGCCGACATGCGTTTCTCAGTAACCTTACGCCATCAGTAATATGTAAGAGGAGAATCGGGATTGCCGGGTAACTACCATATAAGGCAAATCTGAATGGAGTAAGAAAACCAGAATATTGCTGGTTCAAGATCGGATGTGTGTGCCTGTCTCTGCCAAATCTGTGACCTGTTCATTTACTGGATTCAAGAGGATTACTCATGACCCATGAATTCCGTTCCACAGTCTTCTTCCCTACCAGTCCCTTGGCTATCGAATCCATGTAATAGAAGGCTCCCGAGAGGTACTATCGGGAANTGGGAGGCGTCACAGGATCGGTGTTTGGTGTGTGGTTGTAAATATTACATTGTATACATTACTGTTCCCATTGAACTCAAAAACAGTTTATGTCTGATACCCCTGCAAGAGCGATACCATCGTTTCCGCTCAAATCACAGACGGAACCGGTCCCACTCTCCAGACATATTACCCATCTCAGTTAAGAAATCAATGATAGCATCCGGAAGTTGTTCTCTTAGGTTTATTGGATTCCAGGAAAAATATTAATGGAGGCCATCCTGAAACAAACAACCGTAACCACATTAGAATAACTTAAATTGAATCAGGTCTGGAGCGAATATTTCAGAAAAACTCCTGAAAACTAAAATGGGAGTTGTTCCATGGAATGACGAACGAATAGGAATACGATTGCCGCAAAGCTTTGAGAAAAAATAGATGCGACAGCTGTGCATGTGACAAATGGTCTTATTGAAAGCAGAAGGCTTTCCACGTTATTGCGTCTTGCCTGGAAATGGGCCACGCTCTCTATTTCCATTCTAAATTGTAGAGCATTTCGTATTGAGATTTGTCTTTGACAATGAATTACGATAGGGGAGCAATGGAAGGCTTGCCATTCCTGGGGCATCTGATCTTCGAGTACAGATCCCTGGAATCCATGCAGAGACTGTGTGGGGTGCCACTGTGTATCACTGCCCCACCTCTACCCATACATAGTGATTAGATGCAGGGGATGAAAGGCTGAAAGTTGGAACGGTTTTGTTTTATATTGCGCCATGCACTCGTCTTGTGATCGGAAATGTAACGGTTGTTAAACACCTGTTTGGCTTATACCGTGATTTGACAAAAGCTAATCGATGTACAATCCAGGGCTTCGCTCGTTCCGATTACTTTGGTCCAACTAAATTGGTTCCGGAGGGACGAAAGGCTCTGTTGATCTGGGCGGATATCGATTCAGGAGCTGACTACCGGGCCATACATTAGTATTTTGTGACTCTTCCCTCTCCTCTATTCGTGTAATCGAGGCCGAGTTCACAGCTCTAGCAGAGAGATCTTGTTGATTGCTTCGAAAAGGTTTGGAGGAGTCCGGGTGTTGGAACTTGTACCCGCCGTGGAAATGTATGTAATATTGTTTATCACACATTAGTTAATGGGCGGGGAAGCATATCAGAAGAATGCCTCCCTTCCCAACATCTCCCCTGACCCACTGGTAGGATGTGTTCTCAGAAATATTAGTGTAAGACCTCATATCCGCGATATCCTGAGAGAAACAGTCTGATTTACGAGTTTCTCATTCAGCGAGAAAGTCGACAGATCCACCCGGGGAAGTATATCTCTTAAGAATCGGCTGAGATTAGCGGCTCATTCTACAAATGAAGCACGCAATCCCATGCTTCGATGAATCTCAGGGAAAACGAGATGCATGGCTCATCCCAGAGCAGGCTAACAATTGACCAAGTTGGCCAACAGAAACGGAATCGATTGGGTTTCCAATAACTCGGTTCCCATTCTTTCCTCTAGCCATTCAACATTCCATTTAGCAAATGGCATCGGGAATCAGTCAAAGTTTATACCGATGCTGTCATCCGGTTAAACAAACATACGGCAAATAGCCCAAGCCGCCAAAGGGGATTAGATATATGAGATGATGCCAACAGTATTACAAAGACCATTACGGACTTTTTGTTATCAACATTTGGAACAGAAGAGTTGAATGTTTCAGAGCTAGCAGTTCCGTTTTTTGAGGGGGCACCCCCGCATTAGGCTCCCATTCAGACTTGTAGGGGCGTTTTGGATGCTAATGTGGCTTGTAGAACGAATTGCTGGTGCCGATGTGCATTGCCTTTACCCTCCAAGATCAGTCTCTTACCAAATAGGTGAGCCTGGAAAGACTTGGTTGGTCAGGGCGAGTATCGATCGAGATTTGAACCGCTAACCATGCATGTGTGGTAGGCCCCACATTTCGCTACACCACCTTCGCCTTAATACTCAGAACTCATGACAAATGACAGAAATGACAGTGAAAAATGCAGACAGAACCGGAAGGTCTGTCCTTTTCTCTCCCGGAGATTGAGCCATGCACTTTACCTCTAGGAAAATCCCAGAGGTATTGGAGTGGCGTTTCATCCGTCCAATGAATCGTGGATGTCAGACGATACGTCAGTAGGGAAACCAGTGCATCCAGACAGATATAGAGGTTTCCGTTAGTGAATTGATCCCTAGATATCGTCCGTTTGGTAAATGCGCCATTTCCGGCTGCCTCACCTTATCGCCCTTGAAACGAATTACTACAATGCGATTTTCCCGATGCTAAAGAACGATGAGAGACGTTATAGGTTCGTGGTGCAGAAGATTTATGATCGTCGAGATTCGGAAAGGGTTCGAACCTAAAAACTACTACCATCATATTCATGTCATTCCAATGGTATCGAATGTGAAATGGCATGCCCATTATGACTCGGGTAGAAATCGCATTTCACTTCTTACCCATTCCCATTCACGTTTACAATCATTTTGCGCCATTTACAGGTTCTAGTTTTAGCTTCCTGTTGCCATAACCAAATAGACGAATTGGTGGAAATATGGTATCGACACCAATAATCGTGCCTTTCCCGAATTCCTCGAAAGAAACCTTTCATCACTACGTCTGACGAGGTTTATGGGTTTCCATAAACCTCGGCATGACTGTTGCTTTATGTGGAATGGATCTTGAACTTTCAGGAGGTTTTCATTTAAAAAACTTTCATGGGCAGACCTTTCAGCCTTTCTTTCCCCTCCCCCAGGGCACGTACGTACTCTAAACTTTAAGGGTCACCCCCTTCAGTTGCGCATTCCTCAAAATCGCCCAGCAACAGCTAGTGGAACCACTGTCAGCTGGGTTTGCCCTTCGAGTAACCTTTGTTGTCCTCCCCCTAGTTTCAGCGAAAACGATCGGTTTCATTGTCATACATGAGGTCTTATTGGAACTAGGGCTTTCGAAATCAATAGTCGAGATCGATTCATACAGTATGCTGCTGTGGAATGGCCCCATAGTGGTGGGTATTAGGTATTTCACCATTCCAGGAAGGTAGGCTATGAGAGACGGTCGTATTCTGCTGTCGATGCCTCCACTGCCTGAATACCGGCCCTTCCCAGGAGTTTGTTGAACTACCGAATCCATCCAGTCTCAACTACTCGCTTTCAGTAGCTTGTTTCTCCTAGATAAACGAAGAGAGGAAGACGGGAGAGGAAGGTGTGGGTGGGGGAGGGGGCTTGGGAAAGGAAAGAGAGTAGGGAGTAACCGGACAGGAATCATGGAAGGATTGTAAGAAGTGTAATTCTTTTTAGATCAACGTAACCCCATTTGTTCCACTCTCACACATGATTCGTGCTGATTTATGTGGAGTTTCCATAACATTCTTCACACTTCATCTAAGACGTGACTACCGTAACTCTACAGTAATATTCATCATACATTATCATT